GAGATTTAAGCTATTTAGACTAAACATTTGTGTTTTTGTTTTATAATTTGTAGCCATTCTAGAATGAAGAAAGCATAACTTATATTTATTTCGTAATTTTTTATGGTGCTTACGAGGTTGGTCAAACTGACAGACCCCCGTATAGTTAGGGTAGAGAAAATAACAGACAAAATATAAAGCTTTACTGAAAACAAATGTTTTAGGAGTTTTTGGAGATTGCACAAATAATATTTAAGATTTTTGGGACGAAAAATAGTTTTTTAATCACAACATGAAATTTACTTTGCACTTGGGTTAGTGATGAAACAGATTCGATATTTTCACAAACAAATCTTTGCTAAAAATACTTCATTAAAAATCTGATTTTTTGTGTACAAAAGACATGGAATCATTAAAAAATTCTACCAAATTTTGTGAAGACGCACTTACAGCATTAAAAGTTATAGTATAAATACTTAATGAGCCCATCTCAAAAGGGTTAAAAAAATTATAACTATAGTTAAATGTTCTTCCCCATCATTAGTCATTTTCTCTAAAAGCTTATTCAAAACATGTGAAAAAGTAGTGTAACAATACAAAATGATTCCTGTCCATTTCAGTATGTCAGACCTTTCTTTTAAGAAAACATGTAGATTTGTGTCCCCAACTAACTAAATATCATCTACTTTGTAATGAATCTGTGCTTATTTACACAAGTACACTGTCTTAATTAATGAAAGAAAAAAAGACTGTTGTTACCAAATTATTTTATCCTGACATAGTGTAATCATGTCTAGCATTGTTAGAAGAGACTATGAAGTTTTCAATAAAATTATTTAGAAAATTCCATCAGGTAAGCTGTTCTAAAATTCCTTTGTAATTATGGTGATATTTATGCAATCTTATTTTGTTTATATTTAATTTCTTGAAGTCTTTCATTATAATTACATTTAAATTTGGTAAGTACAGGTAAATTTTCATTCACTTGAATTCCTTACAGCATCAATTTGACCAGCTATTAAAAGAAAGTTCTACTTGCTGCCAAGACAGTTCTTGCAATGTCAACAACCAGTTAAAGAAACCGAGTTGTCCTGTTTGTTGTTTGTGTTACTTTCTAGAGAGAGGATTAGTACCTGAAGGTATTTATTTTGAATATGAAGTTTTGAAAGATTTTGCTAATATTTGCTTTCATCTGTGTCTTAATATTTCATATTTGTTTATGAAATATGTTGACTTATAAAAATAATCTCTGATGTTTTGCATAAATCAAACCTGTTAAGACCAAATATACTTTCCGAAATAATTCACTTACCTCTCTGCACACAATAGAATTTCCTCGCATGTTTGCCTTTGAGATTTTGCACATGCACTAGGTTTGAACTATCTTCCACCTAAGACACATGTTTTAACATGAAATATGCTAGTGCATGATGTAATCATCATGTGACTATAGTGTTCCACCAATAGTAGAGTGACATATCCTCCACACACAGTAGATCATCATAAGTAGTTGCACTTGAAATTAATTACTGCCATTGTTCAACATGCTGTGGATTTTTTAATGTCTTCGTTGTCTCAAATCCCTGTCCATACATCAGAAGTGCATTCCCCTCTTTCTGAACCTGACTGTGAGGATAATGATTCTGTTCAGCTCAGTCTGTCTCCTGGGTTTGCACTAGGCTTTTCTATGCCTGTAGAAGACAATATTACTCCTTCAAATTTCTTTGTGGATTTGATTTTTCAGGTTCATTCTTTACTTACTTTTTCATCTGTGCCTTTTGATTCTTCCTGTTCTTTACTACATGCCTCTCAAGCTGAAGATTGTTTGGTTTTTCCTCCTCCTCCAGACATATGTGTTCATGCTGACACGTTTCTGGATCAGCTTCAGTCACATTCTCAAATGACTCATCCTCCTCAACTTAAGGATTCCTTTGCCATGGCTTATGGCTGTTTTCCTTTTCCATTATGGAATTCCCAATTCATAGAGCCCTGAGTTCCTTTTCTGTTCTTGAGGGCAGACTCCCTCTTTCCAATAACTCTCTTTTGTGCTCTGTTTTCCCATTTTCACCTATTGGTCCTTTTCTCCCAAACTGTGGATAACCAAGGTTGATGTCTCAGATGCCTTTCTACATATTCCTATTGCTCTGTCCTCCAAACATTTTATTTTATTCATTTACTGGGATCAGGTGTACCAGTTTTGATTTCTCACCTTCAGCATTGCTTTGTGTCCTTATGTGTTCAACTAAGTCATGGGAAAACTTTCTTGCCACATTCAGTCTTGGATTTCGCTTCCATTATTACATTTATGACTGGCTCTTCCTTGCCTCTTCTTGGGAGTCTGCTTTCTTGGCTACATCGCTTCTCATCCAAGAAGTTGCTTATATGGGTTGGCTGATCAAACCTTCCATATTGTTCCTCACTTGGTCTAACTCAGAGTCTTGTTCAACTCTTGACTCAATCAGGCTCAGCCTTCGCTCATTCTTCTGCAAAATGTGGAGCATCTAGTCACCTCAACTCTTGTCTCTTCTATACTTCCTGTGTAAGAGGTTCTATTTTTTTTGTGGACTCTTGCCTCTCTTGAATATCTTGTCCTTTTAACCCTGTTGCCCTGGGTACCATTTACTGTGCATAACACAAGGTTTTAGTGTCTTACATTCAAAATGTTATTGAACTACTTTTTGTTTGTGTTATACCAATTAGAATAGCATAAAACTTAGCTAATAATCCATATTTTAATAGCATATAAGTTTTAAGTTCTTAATTCTACAAGGAAATATATTAAAAAACCTGAATTACCACAAGTGTGACCCACGTGACACATTTTGCCTCAGCATGTCATCATCCCTATTTTATTCATCACCCTTCGAAAATGTACAAAATTAAATATAAAATACTCTCTATAAAATCGTTATTTCTCAAACAAATCATAATTTTTATAGCCTTCAATTTTGTTTGGTTACAGAGCTATCGAATAGAAAATCAGACCCCTCCTGCCACACCCACCTGTCACATCCTCTCTTTCACAATTTGTTGATAGTTCTCTTATGTTTCATTAACCTATAACCAATAGAAAGTCAAGGTTTTCATCTCTCGAATGACATATTTTATAACGTTGTGTTCTATACAGATAATCGTCAATTTCACTTGGAGAAGCAAAATTGTTCACGTGGGAAAGTTGACGACTAACTTGGATGAATTTGTAATGGCTCATGTTGCATAGTTAAAAAGCCAGGAAAATTTTGAGAAGTAAGTGAA